AAAATTGATTTTCCTTTTTTCCCCCTACTGTTTTGTGAAATTTGTTCTCTATCCTGATGTGAAACCATGGACCTGACATCTGTTCATTTGCTTTATTATGGTCATGGACAAGACACTACTTAAGGGTTTTTTTTTAAAACTAATAAAATCACCTAAGTAGATCAAATGGGTGCAGAACAGTTGAGTACTTCTGCATGAAAGTGCTTGTTACAAAGATCTGTTGTATTTTAAACTGGCACTGGATGTGTGTCAGTTCACCCTCGACAGGAAAAGGTCCTGGTTGGTAGATACTGGTGTGCTTTTTTCACTTGTTATGATGGTTAGTTCATGAGCCAGGTGTGAAAACAACATTTCTCCTTCCCTAGAAGTGACTTGAATGGCAGAATGATCATGTCCAAGGAAAGGGTGTGTGGAAAGGTGAGTGGAAATCCACAGCCATCAGCAAGAACCATCTGGACTTTTGGAGGAAGACTTCCTGTGAGACAGATGCAAGTAAAACCCTGGAGAAGAATCAGTCACTTTCCATACTAGTGTAGTCATATGATCTGACTCGGAAGCCTCTCTTGATGCTCCCCGATGGCTGGAATTTACATCCCAAAGCGCTTCCTGGCTTGGGTGATGAGTTGGGATGTCCTCTGTGAGCACCACCTAATCACTTGGGGTGTGCAGTGATTTGTGTAAGAGCTTTAATGATTTGTTTTGCTAAATCAAAGATTGTACACCAGGAATGAGCTGTAAGAGAGTGTATTGTAAGGGGCTGGCAAGTCTTGACTCCTGCACCTTTAAGCAAGACACTAGAGATCTCCTCTTTAAACGAAGATTTTTTTGACATACTCTCATCAAAAAGCTGTGAGAAAGCAACAGTGAACAGTTGTTTTTATTAGTCATGTCCAGTCATTTACACAAACATAATGTACTTTTTTTTCATACACAGGTACCTCTGCGTGCACCAGCTCCCATCCCTTGATCTGTATGAGAAGGCTGCCTGTAAAACTCCATCCAAGTTGTGAAAAAAGAAAAAAAATTCTTTCTTTAAAAAGAAAGAATTTAGTAATTGAAATAACCACTAGCCTATTTGTTAAGTAGCATACATTCTTGGAAAGTTAGTATCTGTTATCAGTCTTTTAATATGTTGGTTTCCTCAAGCCTTTTGCTTTTCTTCCTGTATGAGGAAAAAAATAACACTTAAAATCTGCAGCAGTATATAAAGCCAGAATAGTTTTGTCCTTTTTTTTTTTTTGAAGTTATTATTTTGATTTCATGCTTTGCTAGGAATTCAGGACTGACCCTTTTCTAATTAGGAGATTATGAAAATCAGTGTGAATGCTGCAGTGAGAGGACAGCGAACCTGAGTCACTGTGGGGGAGTGGATGGGCACAATGGCTGATGCTTAGTGTTTCACTGATTTTTCACTGAATGTTTGGTGAACAGTCACCTGGGTGCTCATCCGTATTCTGACCCAGAGATGTGATTGGCAACCCCTGTGGCTGCTGCTTGAAGAGGGGAAAGGAGTCTTGGAATTCAGCAGAGCCCAGGAACTAGAGCAAAGCGCAGGGCAGAGAAGTCATCGAGACCCTTGACCTTTTATTTGTCACTATGTCCCCCTATTTTGTTCTCTATTGAATCCATATTTCCCTTTTCCTCCTTTTCACTGCTAATGTGTCCACAGAATTCCTCCTTGAATCTTCTGGTCATGAGAAATGAACCTGTGCGTTGGTGGTGGTGGATTTTGTTTTTCTTGTTATTGTCTCGTCTACATCTGTTTTCCCTGGCATCTCAGTTAAAAAAGCTAATTTTGCTGAGTTGGAGCAGCTGCCACTTCCCACCATAGTAAATTAAGCTTTCAGAAGACCTCATCTTTGGAATTACAGTTCTGATCATAATGTGGATTTTAATAGTCAATTGAGATGCTTATTAAATTATAACACTGTGCATTAGGAACGTTCATGTGCTGCTGGAGAAATCTCAATCGTTTAGGTTTTATTAGTTTCGTGATTTAATGAACAGAAAACATTAAAACTAAAAGCCAAATGGAAACCAGCTGTATAAAAATGTTCTATAAAATTCAGGAAACTGACAGACATAGCTGTAAAAGTACTTTGCAAAGACACAGCCTCTCTTAAATGCCATCCATTTTAATAAAGTGATTAATGCCACCATCAGCTTTCTTAACAAAGAAAATTTCTCCCTTGTTTCTTTTCCCGTGTTCATGAGATTCAGCCTGTACTTACCATAGTAAGTGAGGCTTATCGATGGTTTGAAAATCATTCACTCTGGGCTGTTAAGATGCAAAGGGTGGTATTTTTGAAGTTCCTTTTTAAAAATGCGTACATTAGGAAAAAGGTTCTTCACTCAGGTGGTGGTCAGGCACTGGAACAGGCTCCCCATGGAAATGGTCACAGCACCAGGCCTGACAGAGTTCAAGGAGCCTTCGGACAACACTCTCAGGCATGTGGTGTGATCCTTGGGGTGTCCTGTGCAGAGCCAGGAGTTGGACTGGTGGTCCTTGTGGGTCCCTTCCAGCTCAGGATATTCCATGATTATAAATATATTTATGCAGGGATGTATTATGTATGTATAAAAGCATCTTAGTTCTCAAACTCCTACATCAGTACAGCCAAATCACTACTTCTTGTTCATTTTTTTCAGGTATGAAAGACACCTTTGCATAAGATGCTGTCAAACACCCGTGGAAGAAATACCTACATTGCAAACAGGTCCCTGCCAGAATAGGCATGTGTAGAATTGTTCTGCTTCATCCTTTTGATGGGACTTTTACCTAAATTTTGAAACAGATGATGATTTATTGAGGTTCCTGTTTCAGTTTGGATCGTAAAGGCAATTGCAGCATATATCTGAGTTATACATAGGCCTTTCAGTGCAGTTATAATTAGGATTTCAGTAATAAAATTATTACTCTGGGTTTTCTTGGGGGGTTTTTTCTGTTCCCCCTCACTTGAGTTTGATTTGAGGTACTTTTATTAACTTTCTGTTTACCTATGAGTAAGAGTTTTGCTACAGCTCAGGAATCAAAGGTCTGGTTTCCTTGGCAATGATGGACTGGTTGCTGTCACTGCTGTTGCAACTTGTCCCTTCACAGTGCCTGTACTCTTGGCTCTGTGACTACACAAAATCGTTTAGAGACCTTTTTTTTCTGGGTTCCTAACCTGGTTTGTCCCATTTCTATGAACAGCATATGTGGAACCACTGACCATGAGAGCCACAAACAGGAATGCACCCTAGATCAGGCAAATGCCATAAATGGAGTATGTTAAACCTGCTCTGGTGCATCTTCACTTAAATCACTGGGAGTTTTGCCACTGAGTTTTCAAGGGAACCAGCTTTTAGGGCACAGGTTATGTTCAGGAGCTCTTCCTATCCATACCTTGGCTCCTGTTTAACTGCAGCACTGACATGAAGCTTAGTGTATTGACAGCTGACATTTTGATCCATCAACAGGTCACCTCAGATTCCAGCAAAACCTGTTGCAGAATGGGAGTTAAGCTTCCTAAAGGAGTTGTGGAGCAGAGTTTTGGTGCCCACCCTGTGATCATGAGACCGCCTGGATCTACAGGGGACTCATGATGGTGCCTCTCTGGAAGCAGGGCCTGGATTGCTCATGAGTGAGAGGCAGGTGTGAGATCTATTTTCAATGCCAGGTTAGCAAAATAATGCAAATTCTTGATGCAATTTCCTTCCAGTCCTCATAGCGCAATGCAGTTTAGATTATGACAGTGTTTTTGTTACTGGGTTCGCTGCCCTCAATTTACCATTCCTCTCTCTCTCCTGGCTTTCTTATCCAGATCCCCAACTTCTCCATCACCTGGAAGAGTAGTTGGAAGAGCATCTTGCAAGGCTGGACCTGGAACAGGCAGCACACTGCCTTCCTCCCACCTTCACCCTCCTCAGAACTCTTAATGTCTGTCCCCACCTCTCTGCTCCATCCTGGTCAGAGATGAATCTCCTTGGCCCTGGGACTGGGGAAAGATGAACCACAGCAAACTCCAGTAGGAGACACCCCACCTTCCAGCAGTGTAGGGCTTGAAGAATGAGCTGACTGCCACACCGGTGTCACAAACTGTGACACGGGGGGGGGCTGAAGTCCATTTTGCAGGAATGGTGAAGCTCCACAGTGCTGTGGGATCAGGGACACATAAAAAGACAATGAAATTCTGAACTCTGCTGCAGGTCTTAGTGATGGGTCTGGTTTCAGTCCCTTAATATTCTCAAGTGTGTCAGTCTGTGGGAAATGATACAACTTTGTTGATGCACTCACAGTGCTTATTAAGGCAGATGAGAGTGTGCTTAGGACAGGGTATACTGAATATGTCACTTTTAAACATATCGCAGCCTCAGAGGAATACCAAGTCTCTACAGCTGATTTTTTTTTTTTGCCACCTCTATTTGCAGCTGCCATTTTAATGCTTCTCCACTCTCTCCCTGTGCCTGGTATCCTCCTCTGGGCTTCTTCCCCCTCCTCTCCCACCTTCCCAGGTGCTGCACTGCAACACCTTTTTGCTCCTTCCCCTCTCTTTTCTCACTCAAAAGCCCCAAAAAGCAGCAAAGAAGGGTGGTCAGAAGGGCCACCCAGCACAACCCCCCGGGGTGGGGGAAGCAGAGCCTCCCTGAGCGCGGGTCTGATGCACCACGGGCATCGCAGATCCCCGTCAGTGCCACCGGGGCCGCAAGCGGCAGATGCACGGAGGGTCGAGGCAAACCTCCTTAGGGACAGGAGATAAGGAATCGATCCATGCCGGCCTCAGAGAGCGGCACAGGGCTGACAAAACCCTTGCAGCTGGCAGAGAACGTGAAAACCATGGGAAGCGGGCGGACGTGCAACAGCAGGGGCCGGGCTCCCCCCAGAGCCCTCCCCGGCCTGCATAAGCCCTTCCCACCCCAAGCTCGGCCTCGCCCTGGCTCCCGGCGGGATGTGGGCTCTGAGCATGCACGGCCCTGCCCAGCGCATGCGGCCGGGGATCGGGATCGGGGTCAGGATCCCGCCCCGCCCCGAGAGGTCGGGCGGGCAGGGAATGCTGCGGGCCGGGAATGCTGCGGGCACCATGGAGCAGCTCGGGAAGCGCTCGGCGGCCCGGCTGGACACCGTCCTGCGGCACCTCTGCCCGCGGCTGGGGGCGGCCCCCGCTCCCGTATCCTTTCTGGAGTGGGCTCGGGAAGGGTCCCTGGTTTGTCCTGCGGGGACACCGGCCTGGGAAGGACACCCAGGCCGAGTCCCTGCCCTGTGTCCTGGTTGTGGGGTGGAGACGTGCCGGGGGCCCTGCCCTGTGTGCTGCCCTTGCCCTGGCAGCCCCGGCTGGGATTTTGGGGTCAGCACCCGTCCCACCCCAAAAACCTCCTGCTGCCTGTGCTTCCTCCCTGAGCTCCAGCCCTGAAACCCGTCGGGATGTGCATCTGATAATCCGTGTCCTCTGGGCACCGCCCAGTACAGCCCCCCAGCACCGAGCAGGGGCTTCCCTGCAGCGAATTCCCCTCCTGGAGATTCGAGGGCTTTGGGGGAGATAAACCCTGTGTGACTTAGAAGTTGCACAGCAAGTCTCAGGCTTTGTTGAAAGCTGGTACAGACTTGACTGGTAGAGCAGCAGCAGGAAAAAACATCAAGGTTTGTTTTGCCAGTGGGATCTGAGGTGGAAATGTTGGAGGCTGCCAGCTTTGTGACACATCAGACAAAGGGAACCAGGGCAGGGAGGAGATTTCGCGTTGGTCTGTCTCAGGGTTCCAAAAGTTAAATAAAGACTGCTTGCTGACAGTATTTTTAAAGTTGCTGCCATAAATCTTACTTTTTTTAAAAAAAAATGCTTATGTTTCACAGTGAGAGCTGAACACTCACAAGTTACCTCTGAATTGTAATAAATAGGAGAAAAGGATGTGATCAAACAGGATGTAGGAGCCTTCAAATATATATTAAAAATATGAAGACAGATGGATAGTTGTTGACTCAGACTGCCATAACACAGAGATGCAAGCAGGAACACAAAATTAGAAATAAATGCTAGGAAAAACACCCTGATTGTAAAGAAGAGGTGCTGCACAAGCTGTTTTTAAATCCAAGTCTTGATGCAAAGAGCTTTGGACAAAAATAGGACTAATCTGGGCTGGAGCAAGAAAGGTGTATGGATAAAGTAAGTGGCAGAATGTATTAAGAATAGATTTATTTGATACATGGTACATCAGTTTTGTTTTAATCTCTGGCTTGGGTGATTTGGATAGGACAGTTGCTTTTCCTCACAGAAAATGCCTCTCCTTTAACAAAAGGAGAAGTGTCTTGATAGCAATTCCAGTCACCACCAGAGACACAAAACGTCCAAACCTTCCAAAGCCCGTGGGGTCTCTGTGCTGCTCTACTGTGTGTGCCCACCCCTCTGTGCTGAGTGAGCCCTGCACCTGAGGTTTGCTGTCTTCTGCCACCACAGCACAGGCTCTGACCTTCCCAGGATCCTGATCTTCTCTGTTTACAATTAGGGCTGCAGAATAGAGACTTTAACACCATCTTGTACACACCCAGTTTCCTCCTGTAGTTGCTTTTAGGGTTTAGTATATTGGAGATTGGAGTGTTGGTTGTGTGGGTATATTGGAAGATGGGTTGTTTCTGCATATCATTGGAAAAACTCTGCCTTCAGATGGCCTCAGAAAGGAGAGGAAGGTGAAATGTGGCAGATTTTTCTTTGGAGCTAAGTGTAAGAGCCAGAGGGGAGTAATGCACCAGTAACACCAGCACTTATCTCCTTAAAGGAAGGCAGATGAGAAAAACCCACATTCCAAGTGCCTGTGGAAGACCTCCATTCCTGGAGCTGTGAATTCAGCTTGAGTGCTACCTGGTTTGGGACACCAGTGAAAAATCAGCACACCAGCTGTAGAAGTGAAGGTTTCCTCAAAATGCAGGAAAACGGGAGATTTGAAAAGCAGCTGCACCTCTGGAGTGATTTGGGTGTTTGACTTCTTCTGATGCTTCTGGCACAGCTGGGGCTGTCAGGCCAGGGCCATCTCACCAGGGGCCTGTGAGGTGGTTTCTGAGAAAACTGCACAGGTGTATTGTGCTACTTTTGGATATGCAGGAGTCTGCAGAACCCCTTGGGATGCTGCAGGGAGGTGCTTTGGAAAAGCTTCTGGGGATGTTAAGCCTTGCTGTGCCTGTGCTTTAGTGTCTCCAAAAGTGTTTATTTGCTTCTGAGTAGCTCCAGGTTATTACATTGCCTGCACAGCTGGATAATGTGCCTGTGGATATGTTGTTCCCAAAAGGACTGTGTGAGGGGAAAAGGGGATAGTTTAAATGTGCCTTTATGAAAATGAGCTGCTGGAGCTGGCAGCTCCTTCCCAGCTGTACCTCTTGGTTTCAGTTGTCCAAGCAACCCAAACTTGTCCTCTGAGCATTGCAAGGTGTCAAGAGCAAAACCAGTGAGAGGAAGAGGCAGTGGAAAGTGTCAAAGGGAGCCCAGGACTTGGTGGACTTTGCTGTCCCCCAGTTCTGGAAAGTGGAGGTGTTGAGGAGGCCACCACAGCTGGGGCTCAGCCAGTGCCTGTGTCTCCATCAGCTGTCTGTGGACATTTAGGAGCCTGTATGCTCAGGAGTCCCATTTTCACTGAATTTGGCCCTGAAATGTGGTGTGTGGAGCACTAGTGCCCTCAGTTGGGGAATCCCTTACTCTGGGACCTGCTATGGTCGTTTCCACCTCATCTCCCCATGTCTTCTTCCTTCCCTCTCTCTTCCATCCAGTTCTCAGCACCTTTTCCTCCCTCTGGCTCATTTTTGCCACACGTTTTTGCATGTTTGTTGTTTCTTCTCCTACTGTAAGTGACTCTTGACCAGATAATGTTTAAGCTTCCTGGTGTGGGGACCATAAACACAACTGTTGTGAGGAAACCTTTGTGTTTCTGAAGCATTCATGTTTTTATGGCACATTTGTAAGGCAGTGGTGAGCAGTAGAGGAAAGTCAGTGGTTTACATAAAAACCTGAAGCAGAGATGCATGTGCAGACCAGGAAATCTGCACAAAAATGCTCTTTTTTGTCCTTACCCCTGGATGACAATTCATTACCATACACAAAGCTCTTGTGAGGCTTCTTTAGCCAGTAGCTTTTAATTGCCCTGTTGATGAGAATGTCTTTCTGCCTGGGAGAACAAAGCTGTGTTTATTTCAACGTGTTGAAATTAATTGAGGTGGAGGACAAGCCCATAACTCTCCTCTCTTCCTGCTATTCCTGTCAAGCTTGGGAGGGACCAGATCTCTGTAGTAACTGTAGAGAAAGTGAGGGTTTGCATCACCACATGAGAGTGTGAAATCCCAGGTTCACTCCTAATGTTTTTTATTATTTTAATTTTTTTTTTAAATTATAGATTTTTATTGTTATAATTTTAGAAGCAAAATAAACAAGAACATTAACTGAAAGTCCAGGACGGTAACTTCCTTTAGGATGAACAGAATTTTAGGATCCAGGACTCATGTGCATAGATGATGTTCTGCACTATTTCATTTGATTATATATTCCTTAACTTCCATCCCAGATAAGCATTCCTACTTCTGCCCAAGTCAGTGTTGTTCCTCATTCAGGGGGGTTTTGGTAAGATCTGCTTTCCTTTGTAGAGACAGAGATTTTCAGAACTCAGTTCTTTGTCCCTAGCCCACATGTTGATTGATAGACATTGCGCAGCCTTTCACTTTGCAAGGGTGTCTCCCTTGTTTAACTGTAGTTTAATGTGTTTCTCCTCTGTGTCTCAGCTACACCCTGGACAATGATCTCCTCACCACACAGCAGAGGCAGTTCTATGAAGACAATGGGTATCTGCTCATCAAGAAGCTCGTTTCTGATGAAGACATCGAGCGCTTCAGGTACGGGGCACTTGCTGAGGAGTTGGGGGGGGCCTGTGTGCAGCAGCATCCCAAGGGAGCTCTGAGAAGATGGAGGCAGCTGGATTCTCCCAACATGGACATTCCCTCTGCTTTGCAGGAGGGAGTTCATGAGGATCTGTAAAAGAGAGGTGAATCCACCAGGAGCTATGATTATGAAAGACGAGTCCCTGAGATCCCAGTTTGGTCAGTCTGAAAAAGTGGTTAATAAAGTGCAGGACTTCCAGGAAGATGAAGAGCTGTTCAGATACTGCACTCTGCCAGAGGTAAAACAGAGTTAAAACCCATCAGAAAGGGGGTGGTGGTGGAAGAGCCTGTGTGAATGTATCTGTGCTTTAATGCCTATTTGAAAAAGCTTCCAGATGTTCTGTCTTGGTCTCCTCCCACCATCCCTGTTTGTGTGCCATGCCAGATCCTGCTTCCTGTCCTTCATCCCAATCTCCTCTTCCTGTACCCTAGTCCTTAGCCAAGCATCCATCTCCCAGTGCTTCCTCAGCCACCTTTCCTCTTGGTTTTCATGTTTCTAATATTTTTTTTCCCTAATGTTTTCTTCCCTGTAGGTCCTCAAATATGTCGAGTGCTTCACAGGGCCAAACATCATGGCAATGCACACCATGCTGATAAATAAACTTCCAGATTCTGGTAAGGAAAGCTTGGATAAGAGGAAAATAGATAAGCTATTGTGCATATGCTGTCTGTCTGGCCAAAATTGAACTTAGAAAAGCTGTTTGAAAAAAAAAAGAGGGACAAATTAAAATAAAATAACTTTGAAAATTTACAGGGCTATTTTGGTAATACCTTGTTACCTGGGCTTAATGAGATAACATGAGAAAACTCATGAGAGTTTTTGAGTCTGTGCAAAGTCTAAGTAATATGGCAAACTAGGCAGGCAGAAATACCCTAACTGCATCTATTTAAGGAGCAGAATTAATGACAAAGTAAGTGTATAAATCATATATAATAGGCTCTTTTGGTGTGGATGATATGTTTCCATTTCCATGAGGGAAAAGAAATAACAAACAAAGCTTCAAAAACATTTATTTTTGTTTAGACCTCATGAAAGAAAGCCCCCAGGGTGAGGGCTAATAGTGCTGGGTAGACTGTCTGGGGAGGTTGCAGTCCATAAATTGAGATTTTCTTCCTTTTTTAAAGAGAAGGCTAAATAAACATGTACTAGGTGCAGCACAGGCAGGGTTGATTCTGCTTGCAACACGCGGTGCCTGCAGATGGCTGTTTGAAAGTCTTTGTACTGGGGAGGTTTGTGCAACATGGTGCTGGCTAAAGTTCACAAAAGTGGAGAGAGGCCAAAATGAGTGGTGAAAACGTGGCAGGGGGTTGGTGGTGGTGAAGGCAGCAAAAGGAGCCACTTGAGGGGTCACAGCCAAACACCTTCCTGGCTTTCACTGTGTCCCTGTGCCATTGCTGACTCAAGAGCCACCACTGTGGTCCATTTTGGGATGGGGCAGAAGCTCCCCTGCTTGGCTTCCAAGGCCATGGTGGGCTGGAGCAGACACTGAGGACACCAAGTGTCTCCAGGTGTCTCCAGCAGCAGCTCCTTAGGATGTGTTACGATGATTAGACAAGGAGGGAAAGGCTGTGTCACATTTATTGAGGTTGAAGGTTTTAAACCTGTGTTGCAGACAAACAGACTTTTCTCCACCCCATGCATCAGGACCTGCACTATTTCCCGTTCCGGCCCGCGTCCCGCATCGTGTGCGCCTGGACCGCCATGGAACGGGCAGACCAGGACAACGGCTGCCTGGTCGTGCAGCCCGGGACACACAAGACCACCCTGAAGCCTCATGGCTATCCCAAGTGGGAGGTAGAGTGTCACAGAGGGCTTGGAAAGGGCTGGGAAGACCTCACTGTGGGGACAGGACTTGCAGGTCAGAGCTGAGGTTTTCAGTGATTTTTTTTTTTTTTCTGTTTATGCAAATACTGATGTTCTTTAGGGAGAGAGTTGCTTGGTTTGCCTCACTCCATGTGACCTGGGTAGATTTGCTTGCCTCTGTTCCCAGCTTCACCTAGAAAATGCCCAGCATGTCATGGCATAACAGCATAAATATGTGCCACTGTTTTCCACTGCCCCTGCCAAGTCTCTGTCTCCTCCTATGGATTTGTTCCTGCCTGGTAGCATGTGCACTGTCCCAAAGAGAAGAAATTGGATAGTAAGCAGCTGGATGCAACTAAATATCAAGTGGTATCTTCCTCTTAAGAATGGATATCTCCTGACCTGACCTGGAGTTGGTGATGTTTATACTGGGAGCAGAAAGCTGGACCCCAGCAGTGGCATCAGGCCACACTTGTGGGATTCCCCGGTGCTCTTCTGTATTCTCCCCAGCTGAGAAATCTTAATTGTCCAAATCCAACTGCAGAAGATACAAAAAGTATTATTTTTTTTTATACCTCAGACTTGAAGTAGAAAGAATAGTGGACAAATAGGCAGGCTTTTAGTTTGGCATATGGCATATGCTGGCCAGGGGAAAGCAGATCCATAACTGTCCCTGCTGCCCCTCGTGCTGAGAACCAACACTAATTTGAACTGAGTGATTTCAATTCGGCCATTTTTAACTAGGGTAAAACCAACAAACTTTTCCATGGGCTGCTTGATGAGGATGAGAAGACTCCCAAGGTTCACCTTGTCATGGAGAAGGGAGACACGGTGTTCTTCCATCCCCTGCTCATTCATGGCTCTGGGATAAACAAGACATCGGGTTTCCGAAAGGTAGGAAATCATCTCTTGATACAGTTTTTTTATATTCCTGATTTTTAAAAAAAACTGACCAAACTATCCCCCCGCCTTCCCAAGCTCATGAATATGTGAATGAATGTTTTAATGAGTTTTTATCTTCCTAATATACTTTTGCACGCCCTTTTTTAAAATTTTTAATTTTTTTTTTTATTTTTAAACATCTGTGTCTTCTGGAAGCAGAGCATGCTGTGTGCAGCTGCTTGAGAAAAAACAGAGCAGAAGTAAAAATTAGATATTGAATCTATGTTGGAAGCCTGGCTGGCTGTACTTGCTTTACTAATAGATCCCTTTCAGCAGTCCCAAATATCCGAAGCTTCTCTTTCTTCCCCTACCTTGTTGGTATTTCATCTCTGGATAACAGGAGCCTCCATCATCCAATAAATAATATTTATTTATATGGTAACACAACCCATTTTTCTGTTAACAATTTGATTACACATCGTATTTTTTTATCATGATTATTTAACTGAAACAGGCTAAAGTGCCCCCCTTTGGAGGCCTCACCCTGTCTCAGAAGGGATTCACCCAGGCACTCCAACACAGAGTGCCCTTTTTTTATTTTGTTTTACCTACTCCATGGCCTGTTCTTTCAGCCCCAGTAGCAGCTTATTGGTGATTTCAGAATAAGTGGGTTGTTGTGACTGTCTGGGTGCAGGATGTAAGAACCCTTACTAAACACATGGGTCTGCTCCAACCCTGACTTTCCCTATTCCTGCTCTAGTTGCTGATGTTTTGAGATCAGGTACTACAGCTCATGCTGGGAGACTGTGTGGGAGAGAAGGGAAGGAATAAGAGCATGTCAGCAAGCAAGAGTATTTCTCCAAGGGGACACTCTGAGGAGAGAAGGAGGGCTCTGAAAGGAGGAAGGAATTTGCTGGCGTGATCTGTAAGGAAGGAACGAGGTGTCCACAATCTGGGATCCAACAGTCATTTGTAATCCATGTGACAGTGAGTGATGCCCCATTTCCTCACACAGAGCATAAGCTGTCACTTTGCCAGCTCGGAGTGCTACTACATTGATGTCAAGAACACGACTCAGGAGCACCTGGAGAAGGAACTGGAAGAAATGGTCTGCAAGAAATACAACGCGACTTCCGTGAAGCTCAAGGTAAGACTTGGCTCAGTGCCCTTTGTTACAAACCAGGCCAGTTCTCTTTCCAGCTCTTGTGTGGCAGGTTTGTGCTCTTTCCTATGCCCAGTTTGGCAGATCAGGCTGTGCCAAGCAGAGGTGTTTGGCAGGATAAAAGACCTGATTTTCAGAAGATGACTTGTGTGGTTTTTGGGGGCCTTTTTCCTCATAATGCTGCTTCTTGCTATGGTGGAGAAATGGCCTTGCTCTCTGGCAGCTCTTTCACATCCCTTGAGCTCTAGAAGTTCCTCCTCTCACTCTGCTTGTCAAAATTGTTTTTTTGAGCACACCTGGATCCTTTCCAGGGTGGCTGTGTTGGTGGAGATTAGATCAGCATTTTGTTGTAGCACAAGCAGGGAGGATCCTCAGCCCCTGCTGTCATGATGGCTCAGCTCTGAGGCTGCTCACACACACTTCTTACAGCATTTGAGAGGGTCTAAACTTCATAGAATCACAGAATTAAGGTTGGAAAAGACCTTTATGTTCATCAAGTCCAACCATTTCGTCCCACTGGAACAGGATTAGGGTGAAGTCACTGCCAGCTTTGTCCTTCACTGCATCTCTTGGTTCATGCTTTATTATGGGGAGTCTGTCTGAACCAGAGCTCTTTGCTATTCTATTCAGACTGCACAGTGTGAATAAAAAGATATGGTCATTTGCCCTGAATTTACAAGTATAAGAAGGTGCAATAAATTCAGTGCTTGCCCAATTTGTATGTCCACAGTTCTTGGAGCTTCCCCACCCAATGTTGTGTGAATTTTCCTTTTAAAACAAGTAGCCACATCTGACTGCAGTAACAGACTGACATTTTTTTTTTTGTTAAATATAGTCCCACATCAGTTGTTTAGAGTTGAGGCTACACCAGGTTTGTCAGCAGTGATACACATCTGCCTCAAAGAAAAATAAAATATGGGACTAATGGACTCTCACTGAATAACTGAAACCATTGAGTAAAACAGAAAGCAAATCTAAATTCTTCAGGGATCCAGCCACTGAAAGAAAAATAAACCTTGTTACTGGGGTGAAAGTGTTCTGTATTTCTTAATCCACAGCAGTTCCCTGACGTGGACAGCCAGTGTTGAAACAGTAAAGTCTAGATGTAATAGGCAGCAATTTTCTTTTAAAATCTACATATTTTACAGTATCTAGGGCTTTCTGGAGGAGAGGGCTTTCTTTTTCACCTTTGGGGCTTTGTTCTGCTTATTTTCTCCCCGGGTGCCTGGTTATGGTGAGGTGCCCAGCTGTGCTTTGCAAGCCTGGTCTTACAGGTCTGTAAAATCACAGCGTGCTTGGCTTTTAGTTCCTGGGGTTAATTAGGGACACTGTGAGATCCAGAGGGATGCATGGTGAGGCTCTCTCCTTCTCCTGAGTGGCAAAGAAGTTGTGCTCATACAAGCCTCAGGGAAGACTCTGTGCTTTCATGTAGCTTTAAGCTTTTTTTTTAACCAGAGTTGGAACTTTCTCCCAGAGGAGTGCCCAGCTCTTATTTCACCTTCACAAGATGCTAAGGAATAAGTAATCCTCTGTTTCCATCTCTGTAAGCTGGAATCTTGATCACTGTTTTTGCTGACCCTCAGGGCTTTTGCTTTGTCTCATTTTTGTTTTGAAGGATATCTGGAACTTCCGAGCACGGCTTGTGCAGGGGGAAAGAATTAACCTGTAGAAGACCCTCTGAAGAGTAGGATGGAAAACAAGTGCCTGAGAACGAGCTTCTCTGGGGGGGAGACTGCAGACCCTGCCTGGGCAGCCAGAATTCCATATGCTTTGTTGGCCTCTGTAGTGGTAACTCAGCCAAATGCTGCATTGCAAAATCGTTCTATGCTAATACAGAATAATTGCCCTGAGGTTGGACAGCAAAGAAAACCTAATCTAGAAAACCAGATTTGCTGTGGATATCTTAGAGAATCGAAGAGTTAAGGTCTTGAAAGAACACCTTGATTTTCCTGATGTTTTCTTTCTTGTTTCTTAAATGTTTCCCACATGACACACCTTTGGAAAGACGCTGTACTAACATGAGATTTTATGCAAGAATTTCCAGTGTTCCCAACTTCCTTTCTATGCAAAAAAAAAAAAAAAAGAAGAGTTTCACAGAAGCCTGACATGGGAAGTTATTGGTGTAAGAAACTACATAAGGGAAAGCAGCAATGACTCATATAGAAAAATGGGATTTGTGGGCAGGAATGTGATTGCTGGTAGAGTTCCTCAAACATGGCTTGCTGTGGCATCGTACCTGACTGAGCAGCACTGGCATAAGTGAAATGTGTATCTGATGGGGTTGGGAGATACTGGGCCAATGAACCAGCCTCCCATTGGCCTTGCACAACTGATCCAAAGCTGTGTCAAGTAAGGGAAGTCCTCCTTTGAGACTGGTGGGACTGGGAAAAGGTGCCTTTTGCTGCTGCCAGTTTGAGGAGGTGGTTGGATGCTCCTTGGGACACAGTGGTGGCAGGGTGGAGAGATGTGCACTGAGATGATCCTCTCACCTTTGACAATGTTTTTTCTTGCTTTCTGAAAGATCCTTTTGTTTTCAGAATCTATTTTTTGAAATACAGAATAAATCAGAAGCAAACTGCACTTGGGGGCTGTGTTGTGTTATTTTTACTGCTCAGAAAGTGGGGGTGGGTGTGTCATCGAACACCCCAGTGCAAAACATCAATCCTCAGCTCTTTTCCATTCCCCTTTCCACCCAAAAAAGTGCCAAAACAGCATCAAAGTCTTTACTGACAAGTACTCATGGCTCCTTCTGCCCTATTTGCTACTTCTTCCTCTGGCTGCAGGTTTTCTTGTGCTGTTTGTATGCTTTCTAAACAAGGTGAGGTTTGAGCAGGGTAATTGCATTGATCCTGAACCCTTGGTGGTGGGGTGAGGTGTCTGGGCTGTACTTCCCACCTGGAGACAGACATATCCTCTGATTTGACCACCATCCTCTGGTTTGAGCACCAAGAAGTCTGATGAGTGGGGAGACTTTAGGGCAGACTCCCAGCCCTGCTTAGTGGGTGACTTTGAGTATCCTGGTTCCTGTATCTCTTCCCAAACCTTTATATAACCCTGGCACTAATCCAGCTCTTGGGGAGGGCATGGATCCAAGTGAATGATTTCCAGTGAGTTGGAGACCCCGTCTGCTGACTTTGCTGAGCTCTGGCTCACAGCCTAGCTGGGGCTCTCTTTGGGATTTTTTTGTGACAACTTTGTCTATCCCATATGGTTCATGGCACAGGATTCATGGAGAGACTTCAGTGTCTGGTGTTATGGTGCAGCTGAGTTGGCTGCGGGGGGAGCTGTGACCACAGAGAAGAGCTACAGGTGTCCTTCAGACTCCCAGAGTTTCCAGACTCTGAATTTCTCTTACTACAACTGGGAGAGAGAAGGAAAGGAAGAACTTCAGCTTCGTTTTTAAAAATCTGTGCATCTCTGCCAATGGATTTGGGCTTGAATTCCCTCTTTCAGAAAAACAAACCCATCAAAGATCTTGGATATCATCTAAACTCAGCAGTTGTCCCACCTCATGAGAGACTTGTTTCCTCACTCTGTCCTATAACAACAGAGCCTGGGGAGGACTAAGCTAAGTAAGATCCCCTTGACTGTGTGCAAGGCCTGCTCTGCCGCTTCCTAGCAATGCCAAGGAGTCTGATCCCTGCCCCTGAAATCACTCTGGGCAGAGCCAGATCCAGCAGGGTGTCTTGTCTCCTTCTGAGCAAAGCTACACACTCATGAGAGCAGGACCATGTCCCTGGGAGAGCAGGATCTACAAGCACTTCCTCGTGTGATGTGTGAGCAAGAGCTGGAGTCCAAAGGATTCTCTATCAGTTCATGTAAACGTTACCTCCTTTGTGAGGAATTGAGCTGGTAAGTCTTAAAGTGTTTCTGTTCCCAGCCATCCCAGCCAGCAGAGATTCTTCAATCCCAGGTTTCCAAAGCACATGCCCCACTAGTGGAAATTCATGGCTAGAAGTTAATCTCAGTCTCCAGCACTTGGTTTTCTGTGTAAAACAAACCCACAGCCCACCCTAGTCTCCTAGGGTTTGGTTTCCTGGCAGTACCATGCCAATGATTTGGGTCACTGCAGGGGGAGAGCTGCAAGGTCTCACCAGCCTTCAGGTCCAAACTCCCTCTTCTTTTAATCACCACCCTGGCAGAAGGAAGGGGAGGAGGAGAGGAAAAGCAATAACTAACCAAATCACCTGGGTTTGTTTTGGTTTCTTTTGTTTTGGTTTTTGTTTTGTTGTTGTTGTTTGGGGGTTTTGGTGGGGGTTTTTTTTGTTTTTGTTGTTGTTTGGTTGTTTGGTGGTTGTTTGTTTGTGGTTTTTTGCTGTCCTGTGAAAAGTTCATGTGATAGAGGAAGAGCCCTGAAAAGAGAAGGACCATGTTCAGCCTCTGGCCTCCACCTTTTACAGAACCAGAATAGGCTGGAGGAAAGCTGACTCCAGGTTGCAATGAGGACACACTGCATTCACTCTGCTCCTGGTCCTTGCAGCAAGTGCCTTGACCTGCAGGCTGTGGTGTGGTGAGGCCACATTCCCAATTGCCTTGGCAAGACTCGCTCTCACTCCTGTGAGTTCATCCCCAGCTCTGAACTGAGCTGGGAGGAAAAGCAGCATTTGGACTTGGCTTCTCGCCTCCAACTGCACAGACACCAGGAGGCTCACCTGCTGAGGTTTGAGAGTTTGACTTCCACAGGTTGATGTCTTTCTCTTGGTTGGCTGGGGCGAGGAGGTTGTTTGGAGAAGTCTGGATTTCCTGGATCCTTTTCAGGTTTATACTTGAAGGAGTTTTTCCAGCAGAGCATGGGAACCAGGAGGAGATAAATGGATTTGGAGAACTAAAAATGACTTGTTGGAACAAAGGCCTTTTCATTTTTAAATTTGACAATGTTCTCGAGCATCCTGTGAACGATAAATGAAGTTATTTGAATCCTGAATCTTGCTGTGAAGGTTGCTCTTGAACCTTGTCTCTCCAAAAGTGTTTGTTTGCTTCTGGGTGGTGCTAGGCATTACATTGCCTGTGCAGCTGGATAACATGCCTGTGAATATACTATTCCCAAAAGGGTTGTGTGAGGGGAAAAGTTTAAATACTCTGTGCCTTTACCAAAATGAGCTGCTGGAGCTGCAAGTGCCTCTTCCTCCTCACTATCCCAAGCATTTATCTTCTTAATCTCCCTCCTCAGCTGCTCCTCTCACCTTTTGCTTTCCCTTCACTCACCACTGTTGCATTTGCACGGGCTGTGTCCTGCTCACACCTTGTGTGACTCTTGCCAGGTAAGGTCTAGAGTTTCTCTGTGTGAAGCTCCAATCCACGCACAAAGCAGTTGTGAGGCTTCATTAGTAAGGGGGATTTGCTGTCCTCTGGAGCAGACTGTGTTCTCTCTGCCTGGCAGGACACAGTCCAGTTTGTTTAAACTTGTTGAAATGAATTCCTGTGCTTTCCCTGTGAAAGTGTTAGGAGAGGTGTCATTTCTCCGCAGCGGTGTTTTCATACTCTGTTGTGCTTGAGTGAATACTCCTTAGTTTATACCCCAGATAACTGCTCCTGCTGCTCAGCCAAAAATGTTTGGGTAAATTGTATCTTCATGTATACAAGAATCAAAAATTTAATTTAAATTACTACTTAATTGTTTTCTTCCAACTGCCCTTTGTGTCTGCTGTGGGAAGGGTTTCTTGGCAGTTCTCCCTGGGACACAAGGAGATGAATCCACCAGGAGTTCTGATAATGAGACGAGATCTGCAGACCCAACTTCATTCAGTCTGAAAAAAAGCTGGTAAAGTGCATAATTTCTGGGAAGATGAAGAGCTGTTCAGATCCTGTACTCTGCCAGAGGTAACAAACCAAAAGGGGACACTGGTGAGAGAACCCAGCAGAGATTTTGAACATATACATGTTTTAATGCCAAGGTGAGGGCAATGTCCAAGCTGGGCAGGTCAGACTAACCCTTCTGGAAGGTTACATGATGCTCTAGTATGTGCTCTGTCCGATACCAGATGGATTTGTACTTTGTGTTCATGTTGGGGTTGTTAGCAGCAGCAGATTCACATCACTTGTCATACAACAAGAAACTGTGTTAATGTATGTAATGGGTAGGTACAGTTTCCTCATGTGTTGGCTTTTTTTGGATTCTGGCTGACAAATAAACTTCCTGATCCATTATGCAGAGCTCCAGGGGGAGGGAAATGCAGAAGCTGTTAACATGACTGGGTCACTGTGTATTTAACTGTAGCAGCACTTACCCTCTTAGAAAAGTTGCTTGAATTGAATTGAATTAGAAACAATTCTGAAAATGTATTAAGTTATTATGGTATTAGTGTGGTTTAGGTTAGCCCTGGCTTGGTAAGATATGTTTCTTGTAATTTGGTTTGCAGCAGATATTTGGATTCACACATTGGAGGTGCATGCATGTACCTAAATACCTAAATTGAAGTGCTGTTGTATGTAACAGCATGTTACATCCAAAATATTCTAATTTAATGTTTCTGCAGTTTAGGTCTTTGCACCATGTTAGCCATGCCTTGCCTTTTTTTTTTTTTTTTTTAATAAAACCGAGTTTAAAAAAGGAACATGTAAAAATTAGACACCCAGCTGCTTATTTGTCCTTCTGCACCTGCAGCCTCAATGTTTAAGACACCTTTTTTTTTTTTTTTTTTGGCCTTGACATTTCACATGTGTTGAAAACAAGGGCCTTCTGGAGCTTGGTAAAAGACAATAAACACAGAGAAGATTCTTTGCTTAGAATTTATGTGCTATTTTCCAGACTAACAGTTCAGAAATGTCAGATTTAGCCTGACTCCTGACCTTGCTGACAGCGGTTGCACGCTCAGCGCTTTGATATGAAGACGCTTGGACAGGTGCCAGAGGAAGGATTTTAGAATCCTGGCTTTGGCTTCCAGTGCTGTAGATCAAAGTCGTACTTCATGCAAGAGAAACTGGAGGGGGAAAGAAAGTTTAATTAACTACATTACGTTTTTTTCTAAGTAGATTTGACTTTTTATATCCTTTTGTGGTGCAGCAGAGCTGAGACTGGAGCTGTTTTCTGCTCTGAGGTGTCTGGCAAAAGCATGTCAGCAAGGGAATTTCTCCAGGAAGGGTATTGCTCCAAGGGGACACTGTCAGGAGAGCAGGAGTGCTTGGAAAGGAGGAAGGAACTTGCTGACAGGACCTGTGAGGGAGGGTGGGGTGTCCATGATCTGGGACACATGGTTTTTTTCCAGCAATCATTTGTAATGATAGGGGCAGTGTAAAGGGGCAGTGAGTGATGCCCAGTTGCCTCACAGCTCAGAGCACTACTACACTGATGTTAAGGACATGATCCAAGAGCAGCTGGAGAAAGAAGTAATTGAGTTTGGTTAAGAAAAAAATGAATTCTGCTCCAGACCTTGTGCTAATCTTAATTCACAACCTTATCTTGTAACTCACAAGCATTTTTGGCTTTTTTGCTGATAAGGCTTCTTGCTGCCTGCCTGTGCTGGAGAAGTGCCCTTGCTCCCCAGGCAACCCCTTCAGATCTCTGGGAAGCAGCCAAGGAG